GGCATTTATAGATGGATTTTGTTCAAACTTGGTACATATATTAGACATTACAGGTTAAGATTGGGGTTCTAGAGCCATATCTCTTAAATGCTTTGACTGATTATATTCAAATTTTCTATATTCGTTATACATCATGTTATATATACATGTATACATGGCTGATTTTGAATGCTGTTCCAGAGCAATATCTCTCAATATGGACAAGTACTTTTTTGACGATCAGATACAAATGTCAATCATTTCAATGTTAAAAAATCATATTCCTGACATGGTTATATTCCAGCTATATTACTATAAACAAAACTATATATCTTAAATTTGATAACTAACGGGGACTGTGCCATGCATGGCTTGTTAAATGTTTAACTCAAAGAGAACTAGCACGCTATTTCAATGTTATTATCTTATTTACCAATCATACCTCATAGCACTATGAACCAATCAGCACCAAGCCTGCTAAAATTTGTTATGGTGGCTGATCCTAACAAGGCTATAAAAGGCTGTTTATTGATATTGTTTATTTGTTTCCTGAACTTCAGGCTCGTTAGGATTGAAATAAGTGTTCTCATTTCCATTCCCCCCACAATTTTAATCTTAAGACAATTTTTGTATTTTTAATTCTCATTTCAGCTTCGTAACACATTACGATATTGTCTTGGTAATCTGTATGACTATAATCATAACTCTGATGAAGTTGACTTTGATAAACTTCGATTCATTGATAAGTATATGCTGCATCATCTTTATGAATATGGACAACAGGTTGGTATACAAGCACGAATGTGGCATGACAACATTAGGTGTACATTACACTGTTGAAGAATTTAATGATTACATTATATTATTATACATCTGTCACCACAACGCCATAAGTTACAGCATGCCATAATTTTGTGGTATTTTACAGGGTATTTTCATTTTACCATATTAGGAAATGCAAATTCCAAATATGGAATAATTACGAGCGTAAGTGTCCTCTGATAATAAAAACAAACATGGCTGCGACCAGAGTTTGACTGGACTCCACACAAAGAAGTTCACTGATTCTGTTCTAAAGTTTTTGTATTTCGGCATTCCCATGGTGTATCCTTGGAAGGAAAAGATGTATAATAATAATGTTATTATGAGAATACCTCAAAGTATGCACTCCGACAGTACTCGTGCATACTTTGAGGTATCCTCGAAATAACCTCATAGTATACTAATTTGTATAATTCTTAATATGAGTAATACTTTCAAATATATGATGTTTAATATTTCATCAAAGAATATCGTATTCAAATGGTTCAAAATTTGGGTTTGTGTTTTGCATGTTAGTTCGTTTGTAGCATCACCATTTCCTTTCTTGTCTGCAGGTTGCTAGAGCATATGAAGATATAGATTTTGGTAGAGTGACTACTGCAGCGATGGCTTTGATACATAATAGGATATCAACATTTTATTTTGACACAGTCAAGGATAGGTGAAAGCCATTGAATATAATATGATAATCACACTAAATATAAGACAGTTTGCTAATCATGCAACTTTTCTAGATGGGGGAAATCCCATGATAACATAAAACAAATTGTCGTTTTTGAAGAAATTTTAAACTTGGTGACCCAAATTTGCTATAAGGAAAATTAAATTATTGTTTTTACTTCAGACTAAATCATTGTAAGGCAATGTTCTGGACCAGGCAATGGTACATTATTTTCAGTTTTGAGTTGAAACACTGATTTGCATAGAACAAAACCACCAGTTCTCATGAAACATGAATCTTTGCCTCAAACAGGTGGACGGCAAGGTTGTAATATACTCTTCAATTCTGCAATCATCTCCAATGTAAATAATATAATAATCATTAAGAAGCATGTATCATTCTCCACTATTTAATAGTATTTTTAATATTTTGGCTAAATTCATGTTTCACAAAATTGATATGTACATACAATCCTTATATTTGTTGACAGACTTTATAATGACAGAGCTAATAGTGTGTGCAGAAGGTCATGTCTGACAGTTTTACATCACATGGTTGAGGTGCTAACACGATCATTAGCGCCAATTGTACCTCATTTAGCAGAAGAAACGTTCTTACATAGGGCCAACACATCAGGTGAGGTGGTTTTATGTTTACTACATATGGTATTGTATAAAGATATTGAACCACTTTGAATGTTTCTAAGAAACAATATGTATTCATGTAATTCTGAAAGTATTGAATCAGATCCTTTGAGTTGCAAAAGACAATTTGCTGCAAGTTAATTCTTCTTGACTTATTTTTGTAGATTGTGTGAGTGTTTTTAAGACGGGCTGGTTTACATGTCAAACCAACTGGCATCAACCTGATATAGTTAAGGATTGGCAAATTCTTACAAATATTAAAGAGACATTTCTCAATGAAATAGAGCCTGCAAAAAGTCGAGAGTATGACATTGTCCTTTCAACAGATGACAAAGAACTCTTCAATGTACTAAAAGTAAGTTGTAAAAATGCACTTTTTGCAATTAAATATAGATTCGCTGTCGCTGGAGTGGAAAAACAAGACAAATATGTCAATCATTCCTGTTTTTTTCTATAACGTCCATATGGAAAATCATATAGAGAAACTGTTTCTTTCTTTGGCCTGTATTTAAACATGACAAACTGCCTGGAGATGGCATACATATATTTCACTTAGCTCATTTATTTATAGAGATTCCAAATGGATGAAGTATCCAACATATCAGAATTGTGTGAGATAATGACTGCATCATGTTGCACTGTAACAAACAAGCTGACGGCCAGTGACAATGGAGATATGACCAAGTTATATGGGGAGTATATTGGGCAAGGTATGTATAAAAATATATCTTCTATATTCATTGTTATATGTCCGGTGATGAAACAATACAATGTAATATGTTAAAGATATGTCTTTTGTATCATTTCGAACCTTATTTGCATTAAATTTAAATTTCGATATTGAATCGTACCTATATTATGTTTGAACTTTTTTTACTTCAAGAACAACAACAATATAGCATTTGATCGAATTCACCATTCTGTCTTTGTGCATACTTAATTTTTACATGATATCCATGGTTCTTATTTAGTGAATAATATGTGAAATAAAATAAATTGTAATATCATATATGGCAAGTTATGCTATGAAGAAACAAATATTCAAGGCAAGATGAGAACCAATATAAATTTTGAGATTTGAACCAATGCACTCGCCAGGTGCATTTAGCTTGTAGTTCAGATTCATGCATGGAATGCAAGTGGTTTGTGTAATGGTCTGGAATATAATTTGTTTTATATTCTCTTACAGAAAGTGGTGACAAACCAATGAAGTATACAGTAATAATACATCCATCATCTTCAAATAGATGTGAAAGATGTAGAAAACACACTGCCGATGTACAGAGCCAACTATGTCAAAGATGTTCAGATGTTTTATTTGCCAATAGAGAGTCATGATGCTGACATATTGGTCTCCTACTATGTATTTTAGTGGTGATATAACACTAAATGAAACATAGTTGTTTGTGAATTAACATGGGTTTTCTACGTTTTTCATGTATACAATGTTTTTTGTGTGATCTGAATAAATACAGAATCTATCACATCTTGTCTTTAGAACAAAGAGGCATTGGTTAGGTAACTGGAAAATTATCCCATTATACTTCTTCTCTCATATTGGTTATTGGCAGTTACCATTTCAAATGATTGTATGTATTATGTTGTAATGTAGAACAAAATTGAAGAACAAACAACAGTATCAAATGACGCATCAAAGCTCAAAAAGCAAATATTCGATGTATAGCTGTTTTGAGAATACTTCTTTTTTGTTCAAAACATGAATTTGATCAAATATTATCTGTATAGATTATGTTATTCATTATTATACGTTGCTCTCTCTTATGGCATGTAGGTCAGCAACAAAAACTTTCCATTCTTGTCTGTCTTGGGGCATTTTCTGGATTGATTCCCAGGTCATGTAGAATTTATTCTTTTCATTTTCCACAGTTCAAGTGCCCTTGGGCCAAACCCCACGTTCTTCCCTCTGGAGTCCATGGAAAAGCTGTCCGTGTTATGTCATAAGTATCCTTACTCAAGACATTTCCAATACACCTCCATCTTCTTCTTATTAGTTTTTTATCTTCCGTATTCTCCTGATGACATATATATATAGCTGTTCATTAGATATTCTGTAAAGACATATATGCAAATTATGCGTTTTAAGCTTTTGGAATGCAATCCTGACGTGATTGATTGATTGATTGAGAGTCAACGTTGAGAGTCGTACAATAGGCTAGAGAGGATGCAGCTGGGATATATCCTGGCCTTTCTCCTAACTTTTTATTGCTGGTACCGCTGTACATTACTAAGCATGCTGAATGCAATTCTAATTTTGTTGAGTCTATTTGGGATGTCTTTTCTAGCCCCTCCATCATTCCTAACCGTCCAGTTAGTTAAACTCCCAAGTAAATGAGAGGTCTTCTCCACTTACATGTACAGATAATGGGTTAGAGATATTGAGAGTAATTACTCCTGTCTTCTTGTGATTGATTTTTATGCCAATCTGCTGACAGTACTCATCAAGGTGGAATGTGTTCTTTTGTATGTATTCGTGTGTATAGGATAAATTAGAAATGTCATTAGCATAGTCCACATTTTCCATCGATGAGAAGACAATCCAGAGAAAACGCTTTCCCCTTGTCTCATTCCTGTCTCCATATGGGAGTTGTAAATTACTTTTTCCTACTACACAGGTAAAGTTATTGATAACAAGAACAAGTTTCTCTGGGATACCATATTAACATAGTATATGCCACAGGCTTTCTCTGTGAATTTTATTGAAGGTTTTTCCGAAGTCTACGAAGTTTACATACAATTGTCTGCCATTCAGCGCTCTGCTCAATGATATTTAGCAATGGAAAGATACGGTCAATGCATTCTCTGCCTCTCCTAAACCTTGCTTGTTCTTTTCGGAGAAGATCATTAGCATCACTCATTGATGATTATTTTGGTCACGATCTTGCTCGCTTCTGATCAAAGCGTGATTCTTCTCCTGTTACTGCAATTCCTTAAAGAGCTTTTCTTTGGCACTAATACTACAATACCCTAAGACCAGTAAATAGGTATTTACTGAACCGGTCATTGGTAGCATAGTGGTTGTCGCATCAGACTCATGATCGGTAGACCCAAGTTCAAATCTTACCTTAGGCTGAACATCAAAGGGTCGACCCCTACCCTGGGTGAGTGTCACACGGACTCAATGGGAAGGCCAATTCCACTGGCTGAGATTCATTCACTAACGACACAGCCTTGTCTTGTAGTCCCAAACATGAATATGACTTCTGTGGCAAAATGCACTAGTGTCAGCACTAGTACTTGCAATTTGCACATACAAAAATAAGTCAGGAGAGACAACAGTGACACTCAATGTCCAGAACTGTCGCCTAGCACAAAAACAAAACAAAAAAATATTTACTTACCTGCCCATGTATCTGCAAACAAAAGCTGTAGAACACACAACCAACAAACATTTCTTTATTATAACATGGTTATGAATTCAATTTCTTTTTATTAGAAGCTATTACTAAAATCACATTGTATATACTCTAGGCATAACTTGTTAAATAACTTTTATAGTAACAGTTTGAAGTTGAACATCTTAAATTCACAATACAGTTCACCCGACTTATTAGGACAACATGCTGTAACAACAATGATAACAGATAACAAAAATGGCAACGTTTCCCGAATAACACTATAGCATAGAGCAGGTTGTGCAAGATCACACATTTCGCCTAACTAGCAATATGAAAATTTATGTTAAAACTCCATGCATCTCATTCAGCAATCTAAATAAACACTTTAAAGTAAAACAAATAAATGTCATTGCTTTAAGACTGAATATGAATTTTAGCTTGTAAGTATGTATGTTTGCCATAATAACATTAATACAGTAATGCTGCCCATGCGTCCTTGGCTGTTTAGATTCGTGTGAATGATAACTGGATGGGTGTTGATACTTGTGAACACTATTATCATATATTACTTGCTGATTGTTGCGAGTGACGTTATGCTAGTGTCTTAAGTACAGGAACACTACATATTCTTTAATATGTATACACTGATATATATGTTTTGATCATACATGCACTGGCTTGTCATCACTTTCTGGAAGAGACAATACAAAATTTCAGACCATTACACCAACCACTTGCATTTCATGCATGCATCTAAACTATAACCTAAATGCACTTGGTGAGTGCATTGCATTAAGCCTAAACAACGAAAATTTGTTCTATTATTAGTATTAATTCTTTAACCCATTTCCCATAGAAGAAGATTAATGAAACTTGGCACAGTTATTAGTCTTTCTCTACATAGGAACCACCCAGAGTTATGCATTTCTCTCATCGTTTGATGCAGCTCTAGACACCGTTTTTGTAGAACACCCCAGATTGGTCCTCCAACCACGTCGTAACTTCAGAAACCAAGGCTGCATCATCTGTGAAACGCTTTCCTTTCACAAACAAATTAATGGCTGGGAAGAGATGAAAGTCAGAGGGTGCAAGGTCAGTAGAGTAAGGGAGATGAAACAAATTAATGGCTGGGAAGAGATGAAAGTCAGAGGGTGCAAGGTCAGTAGAGTAAGGAGGATGGTGAGGATTTTATAGCCACACGCCTGTGCTTCTCATCTGCCGATGTGCAAGTTTTCAACCGGAGCATGGTCCTGCAGGAGGAGGATATCTTTGCTGATCTTGCCCCGCCTCTTGATTTTGATAGCTTCTCTTAATTTCATCAAAAGTGAAGCGTAATAGGCTCCTGTAATTGTGGTACTCTTTGCCCGGAAATCTGTCATCACAACTCCGTCCTGGTCCCAGAAGACTGACTGCACCCTTGCATTCGTTGGAGGCAGTGAGTCCAAGTGCTTCCGCTGCATTGACTGGGCTTTGGTCTCTAGATCATAGTGATGGACCCAAGTTTCATCCTGTGAAATCAGTCTTTTGAAAAACTTTGACTCATGTTCTTGGCACATCTCCAAATTCATCCTTGAGCACTTGATGCGTTCTTGCTTCTGGAAATGTGTGAGCAACCTGGGAATCCATCTGGCAGACACCTTATGCATATGCAAATGATCATGAATGATAGTTTCCACAGACACTGTACTAATCTTGGGCAAACAGTAATGCGTCGATCTTCCAAAATGGCTGCCTCAACTTGACAGACAGATGCCTCATCAATGGCAGAAGAGGGACGACCAGGTCTGGGAGCTGTTTCCACAGACTTCCGCCCATGTTTGAATTCATGATGCCAGCGTTTTACAAGGTCATATGATGGGGCATCATCACCATAAGTTTCTTTCATTTCACCAAAAGTCTCCATTGGTGTGCATCCTTTCAAATACAAAAACCGAATCACTGCACGACACTCAAGTGGCTCCATTTCACACCTGACTCTGTTCAAACACCTGTAAATTAGAAACCACAATTAGTTTAGAGCTGTTTTTTGCAACATAATCCATAGAGATGTAAATCATTACACATGCAAAATTTAATCTAGATCAGACAACTGGAAGTGGGTCAGTGGCATTACTTATTGAACGCCCCTCGTATCTCAGCTCGATCACGGTCAACGACTATTCAAGGAAAGCTACTTTGTCACCAAACCATAAACAATGTTTCAGTCAATCTGATTAAAATCTGATGTAGTGTACGGGCTTTAATTATTTTGGCTATAAACTTATTTTAATTTTATTTTTTATTACTTTTGTTATTAATGCCTTTTTATTTTATTATTTTACTAGTCATAATTTTTGACAAAATTGCTCATAAATCGCATGACAATGATCATTAGTTTATTATGCACAATCATGAAGCTAATGTCCTATGGTACAATGAAATAGCATTATTTTGTGTGTTACAGTGTGCTTTTTGAGAAACGTGTCCTAATATTTCTTGAAAATTGCCATTTTTAGAACAATTCCATAGAACACAATGTTAAAGGAAAATTACATTTGTTGACACCCAGATTTTTTAAATAATTCTGAACAACAAAAAGTACTCCATCCTTAACATTATATGATTTTTTCAGCCTATGTCTTCAGGCTAGATTTTCAGATATTGCATAATATCTCTGCCATACGAACCTGTGGTAAAAGTGTTAGAATAGGGTCAAAATGACGACTTACCACTAAAATACAGCCATCAATTTCTCCAAAAAAAGCTGGTGACCCCCAACTTTTTTTAGGTCAATATATTTATATTGCCTTGGAGTACAATGTATTGCAAAATGAATAAATTCTGTTTTTTTTTTAATTCATGAGTAGGCTTCTACCTTAAACACCACATTCACATGCGATTAGCTATATGACTGAATTGTCGTCACGTCATTGAGTGGAAATCAAATGTATTTTTGTTTATTTGCATACCAGTTGTATTTTCTTGTTTGTACCCCAAAGCAAT